GGGTAACGATGTCGCGCGGAAATTAATCTCACATTGTCGCATCGTAAATCCTGCCGCTCGTCTGAAAGAATCGGGGAAATTAAAATTTTAACGCGCGGTATTTACTCGAATGTATTATTACAATATCACGTTGCTCGAGGATCGCACGGGCAAACACACGGACCTCGCTTCTCGATTGCGATCGAAGGGGGGGGGGGGAAGCAAGTGGTGGTTCGACTACCGAGTGTGCAGGCGGTGTAACTGCACAGATGGCAGTAGCTCACGTGCCGTAGGAGGCCAGGCACCAGTCTAAGGAGGGGGGGGGGGGGGTTGGACAGGAGATGGGTCCCAACTTCATTCACGCAAACTCTACTCATCCACGCGGTAGCGGCTCTTGGCTGACCATCGGACAAAGTCGGTGGTTGCCACATCGCGTGCTTTCGGATGCGCTTCTGCGGCCGTCGGGAACGATCTTCCTTCCGATATTAGAAAGCCACTGGAAGCTACGCATTTTCAAATATAGATCGACAAAACAACGCATTTCTTTAGAACCGCTTATTGTGTTTAGTTTGTTGTCCTTCCCCCCCCCTCCCCCCGCACCTCCGATGAGTACGATTAGCTACGTACGGTGCGAAAGAAATTCAACATACATACATTATTGGTACCATGGCACATGCCCACCAGGCCACTCCGCCACAGGTACATTGATATTCGCGTTGGCAGCCGGATCGTCCGAGAGTGTCCCCATCTCGCGCGAGCCAATACGAGCGCCAACTATTACGTACATCTGACCACAGGCGGTTGTGACGCGCGGATAGCGGGGAGGGGGGTCACGTTTGGAGCCGAGGAATCACGTGATGAAGCGCTGCGACACAGCGACAGCAGCCCCGTTGCGTCTGGGTGGGGGAGGCGCTGGGGGCTGGTCACCCCCTCCCTTCCCCCCCAATCCCGAAGGCTCATCCACTCCCCCTCCTCCCTCCCTCCGTCTCTAAATAATTATCGTCAATTCAAGAAATTATTGTCGGAGCGCCGGTGTATCCCCATTGGTGTTGAGCCTATTCGTTTACCGCAACCCTCTGGAAACGCCGACGAATCGCTCCGTCTCTGAAGAAAAGATTGGGAACGCATCGTGCGTCCGTCCGCCTGTCTGCGACAGGGAGGGGCACGATAACTCTCGTGTGGACGATCCAGATGAATGAAGCTTTAAAATAAAGTTGTGTTGCTATTAGCGGGCTACCTTATTCAAAAACCGGCCACATTGATCAAAGTGTCGCCCTTTGATTAATGTATCTGTTGAGCGGCTAGGTAGGTAACGTTATTATCGCTGATTGAATGCTTCCCGAAGAGAAACGCAAAGTCGAAGGGCGTTACGGGATCCGTGCGCTTGCACGATTTTTTTTTCATTGTTCACGTCGACCTCGGGTTACTGAGCAAGCGACGGCGTCGCTCTGCGCGACATGGGGAGGAGTTCGGGGAACGCGCGGCTAGCGGGGCGAGCGGGGAAGTCGCGTGCGGTCGAGGATTACGCGGCTCCGAGGAAGGACGTGGGCCATGTGGCTCAGAGATCAGAGCGCTGAGCCGGCTCCGCTGAGGTTCCTGGGTTCAAACCCAGGCTGGCGATCGTGATTACGACAGGCTCTCAAGTGCAGCGGGGTTGATGGTGGTCTCAGCCCGGTCGCCAATGAATGCGTTAAAAAAAACATTGCATAGGATTTTCGTTCCGCACTTAAGTTGCTTTGAATTCCAGTTATGATTATTCAATATCGGGTTGCGTCTCATTAGACGAGCATTACTGTCATGCGCAGAGCGGGTGGGAGCGCCTCAACTGCGTGGACCAGAGGTCACTCGAAGGGATCTCAGAGGTAGCTCGTTAATATCCACTTCTGTGGGCCAAAGTTGCCAACGGATTCTTTGTCTCGTGAAGACAGCACGCTGATACCACAATGACATCGATGAGGAAGGGAATTGACAAACAAACGAAAAGTTGTCTCCGCTGAAGTTCGGCTGGTACTTACTGCAACCAGCCCTCAGCCAGGCCCCATTCCCGGCACCACTTGCTGGGAGGGGGGGGCGGGAGGCTGCAGGGAGGGCTGCACCGACCGATTCGCGCCCTCTGGGGATCCACACGTCAAGTCAGGACAGGGTAATCTTACGCGCCGCTGAATGTCCCAGCATTGTGTTTAATCGATGGCCCGTGCTGTCCCTCCTCCCTCTCCCCAAAAAAGGACGGAGGGAAGTAACCGTGACCATTAAAAAAAATAATTTAATTCCCCTTTTCCTAAGTCGGCAGGAAGTCACGCGCACGTGGGGGCCCGGCGGGCGAGATGGGAGCGAGGGAGCGAGGGAGCGAGGGAGCGAGGGAGCGAGGGAGGGCGGCTCACAAAACCCCTCCTCGTGTGGCCGCGCCGGCCGCCCCCAGAGGTGGACATCTTTCCACCCCGCTTCGGAGCTTGCACAAAAAAAAAATTGAAACTGAGACGCGCGGCTTTGTCCTGGCCCAGCTCGCCCGCGCGCTAGCCGCAGTTTCTGATTTCCGCACGGAGGGCACTCCCGGATACCAGAAACATCCTCGTCGGTGTAAATCGGTCGGGGCATGTGCACATCGTTACGCAGCGGTGTGATTTAATTTCAAACGGAGACCCGGGGAGGTGCGGGGCCCACCGTTGGTATCGGCAGGAGGTCCGATGTTGTCAGCTCCTGAGGGTGGAAACTTTCCGAACAAACCACAAAAAAAAAATCGCTGCCGTATTCTTACTCCGAAAAATAAGACGCACCCAATAAAAAAAACTGTGCCCGACGTGAATACGCAAAAAAAATATTTTCTCTCGCACACCTAACGTCCAGTAATTTCCATTTCTTCAATTGACAAGGGGAATGGTTGTGTCATAATCCAGAGAGTACGGTCAATGTTGCCAGATAGACCTTCTAAATGTCATGAGATAATGCACCAGGTCTCAAACACAGAATGCAAATGAGAGGCCCGAATGCCTAGCTGGAATGGCACCGAAATCTACATCGTGTCCGCATGCTCAAAAAACTGTCAGATGTATCACTCGTTGCTGGGGAAACGCAAAAATGCCACCAGGTCTCGTGACAACGTCTCTAAGTTGGAAAAGTGAGATCTAGGTAAGTGTTGAAATATCGTTGTTGGCGTAGTGTCTGGTGAACGGGAGGGCTGTCCGGAGGGTTACCATGGAATATTTCCGATAAAAGCAAGAACGTGGACCCCAACAGGTGTTGTGTAAGCCGCGACGGCTGTACGTCTGTACGTTGAACCTCTTTCGCACCGCACGTAGCCAACCGTGCTAATCGGAAGTGCGGGGGAAGGACAACAAAATACACGTAAAAGAGCATTTAAAGAAATGAATTTACAATCTAGATTTGAAAGCAGGAAGTGGCTTCCTAATATCGGAAGGAAGTGCGTTCCAGACGGCCGCGGAAGCTTATCTGGAAGCGCGCGATGCTGCCGCTGCGAGAATAATCCGGAGTTCGCGCGACGGTTCATGCCCTGTGACGAGATCAGCAAGGTAATTGTGGTTTATTTCTGGCGAGCACTTTGTGTGTGTGTGTAATGAGTGCGACCTTCCAATGTATTCGTTCGGCAACCGGCTGGCTAAACAATCGACATTAACACACGACAAGCCCCATGAGCGGCATGCCTCACACCGCGCCCACATTGCCGGGCAAGCAGAGTGGATGAAGTAAATTCGCCGGGTCACTTGTGGAGTGAACAAAATGATTTAATTAGCGGACCCAACTTTACTTCAATATTTATTTACGGCACCTGGGGAAATAGCGGCCGGGGGTTGACCGTGACACACGCACGCACGCACGCACACGCGCGTGCGAGCAGAGGAAACAAAAAATTGAAATTCAAATGCGCGGTCCACTCGGAGACGGCAGTCGTAGAGACAGAGATCATTCATCAACGGTGGTCCCGTGTGAGACCATAGAAGCGGAGATCGTCCACCGAAATAATAATAAGAGAGAGGGATGGGGGGGGGGAGTGTCCGTTCAATTAAACGCCAGCGATCGGCAGCCCTGCGCTGAGCCAGGAGCATCGTCCGTGCATAGTCACGCGGTGCGCGCGTGCGAACGGGGCAGAAGAGATCGTCCCCTCGTGCTGACGTATTCGTGTATGTTGGACTTCTATCGCACCGTACGTACGTAGCCAACCTTTGGTTAATCGGAGAGACGTAATGTCAAATTGGCAAAAGGGTATTGTGTTTTTTTTTTAAGTGCAGAATATAAAAAAAAGAAATAATGGTGAAAAATGTTGGCCGTCGTCATCAATCATCAGCCAGTATCTATCCACTGCTGGGTGAAGGCCCCCTCCAGGCCGGTCAACCATCTTTGACGGTCCCGCGGTTGCATCGATTCATTAAAGTTTGCGCGCGCACACGGAGAGCCTCTTTAATCGTGCCGTCACAGCGACCGTCATCCTCTCGGGCGTGATCCGCTCCCTTGGGAGGTGCGATCCGAAGCTTCTTTTTTTTGTTGGACGTCCCGTGGTTGCTGCAAGGGCAAGTTGTACAACGCGCTTTAACGACGCGGGTGATCGTTAGTATAATCTCGCAGTACCTTTTAAAATATATATTTATATAACTCGCCCACTGCACGTGCAACCAATTAGGACCATAATTCAGTTTGAAATATTACATGTACGCGAACAGCATGCGTGGATTGAAGCCCTCTGTCAATGGGAGGTCGCTCCATCTCTGCTGCTGCCTCTGTAGTCTGGAAATACCTCCCCTCCATCGTCCGTGCTGCTGACCCCCTGCCACCGCTCCAGTAAAGACTCAACACCTCTCTCTTTCTCCCTTCTGGGCAGTGCCACGATGTCAGACGCGGATTTGAAGCAATTTAAAGATCCTGCTAATCATTAGTATAATCAGCAAAAGTGGATTTTTTTTTCTATATGTACGACCCAATTAGGAATGGATTCGTCTATAAATTATTGTTTCACCTTGTTTGATGACGGGGAAATGTTCGTAAAATACCGCGGGGTCGAACGTACTCACAAGATGCGAAGTGTTCATCTCCAGTGCGTTTCCGGGTCGTTCCGCGCGCTGTTCGGCCCCGATGTCCGACGTTTTGCTCCACGCGCCGGGAGCTTCTTCGGGAGCCGCTCAAACGCTCGGAGCGAAAAAAAAACGAAGGGACATTAAGGGATCGGGGCACAGCGATTTGGTCCACGGCGGTTCACAGATTGTGCGAACGCCGCTTTCACAGTCTACGCCGAGCGTCAGTACCCAAAGTGTTCACGTGCTCCAGTGAGCGATGGGCGGGAGAGCGATAATCGTGTCGGTCTCGGTGAGAGGGCCCCGCGCGCTCCTTCTTGAGACCAATCCAGTACCGCGAGGGCCCTGTTAAGATTGCCAGCGTAGAGCCAGGGACAGCGAATGTGGAGGGAATCTCCTCTAAGAAATCCCGACTGCCGTTTTTCATTTTTTTTTTCTTGCGAGCGTACCGGGCGCGCGTGAGACTCGCACAATCAACTCACTCGGTGCTACTCAAATCAACGAAGATGATATTGAGAGAATTAGGGGAAGGCGCGTGCGGCCCATCTGCACACCGGCAGACGAACGAGCATCTGTGTGTCTGCCGCCGTAATGAGCCCGGCGTAAAAACAGCCCCGAGCCCGGCTCCCCAGCCCAAGAACGAACGCAAAACGCTCGCGCGCATTTCACTCTGAATCTGAATCCGCATTTAGTATTCATCAATTAGCCCTAACGCCACGTACTGTATAATGTAATAATGTGCGCTTAATGGGGTTCGCATTTCCCAACGGTGCGCCGTGGCCCTCCTTCAAGTGCGCTGTCAATCACGTGTTTAAGGAGACAATTGCCCGGCGCAAATGCTTTGTTCGTGCGATAGCTGGAAGCCACCTCGCGCGCAACGTCGACGCGAAGTGCCGCCCGCTGTCACCATCGCCCGTGCATCTTTCCCGGGGCTCGATGCACAGCGATAGCAGAGATGCTCGTCGTGAATGCGCACATCACCACTGCCTAAAAAAAAACACAGCATGTGGATAAAACAAAAAGTAACAGCTGCAGTTTGAATAATAATAAGGGATTTGTTTTAGTTGATACATTTCTCATGTCTATTCCGGTTGTGCTACAAACACAATGAGGCTAAGTTGCCAGCGGAGGGCAGTGTAGAAAATCAATTGTTGTGCTGTACTTTACCACAACGCCTACGCAGCCGACCTTCAACAACCCAGACTGACTGAGGTGATAAAGTAAGGTCAAACACCCCCCCCCACCACAACCCGCACGACGCGGGGATGCCCTCGCCCACACCCAACGGAGGCTCCAAGATTTGACTCTCGTGACCCAGCAGTGGCGTTACCAGGACGGCGGCACGCAACGCAGTGCGGCACGGCGGCCGCGCGGACGGAAGCAGAGTTTGTACGATTCCACGGGAATGGAATTGCGAGACCAATGCTCGCGAACTAGCCAACCGATTTCCGTTTTCATGAACCTCCCCCAGGCGCGAGCCCCAGAACCTGCTTTTGTCCCACACAGATTCTGGGGCTCGCGCCGTACTGCCGTGACCGGAGACATCTCGCGAGTTGGTCGCGAACGTCGAGAGGCGCGATTATTTTCGCAAAGTGACGCATTTTACCAACATCTATATCCACATATTGTTTTTTTTTCCCCGTGTCACTAATTATTCCAAGAAGCTCATTACGGTGCAATTAACCATGATTGGTATTATTGACGATAAAATTATCATTAAATTACAATAGCAATCCGTAGTTTTCTTTTGCCAATATTAGATTAAATGAGGCAATGAAAAATTGTTTCATTTTTTTTCCCCTACCGAACCGTTTTTCCCTCCCCTCCTCCCTATTTACTTAAAGAAATTAGCCTAACAAATGTGTCGCAAATAACGGGAGGCAACCTCACCAGATGAAGATGTCAATTAATATTCCGCCGACCTTCATGGCGGAAATAACAACTTTGTTAAATGGCTTGTGCTGCGCTATTTACATATTTAATGAGAAAATGGTAATTTCCACCGGTCTGTCTGTTTCAACTTCGCTATCACTCGGCGCTCAGCGAGCGCAAAGAATAGGGCGTCGCGATCGCAATTGCGCAACGCTCCCTTGCAACTCAGGTTTGCCTCGGATCTCCTGGGTTTACCCCCACGAAATTAAACAGTCTCCTGCTCCATTTATCATGCGTTGACACATGTCATGTCTAAAAGGGTGTGTGCGTGCGTGCTCGCGCTGAGTACAGCGGGAGAGAGAGAGAATAAAAACCCACCCTATTCCCTCTCTTATTGGTTCTCAAGGACAACACCATCTCTCATTCTCCTGCTGCAAAAAAAGAAACACACACAGAGACAAAAAAACACACAGGAGGCACGGGTGGCTGGCAGATAAGCCCACCCTGTTTGATGCCATCATACATAAACATGATAGGCAGCGTTCGGAACGGCAGATAAAAGTGTGTTGCGCTCTCTCCCCTGAGAGCAAATCACTGCAGACCTGCGCGCTATGGTTTTCTGTTTGTGAGCTTACGAGCTGCTGCTGCTGCTCGCAAAAAAGCCGTTAAATCAATAGAAGCGGAATAAAAACAAATCAAACAGAGGATGTTTTTTTCTCTCTCTCTCTCTCACACACACAAAACAGCGCAGTTTGGAACGGCGTAGTCCCCCCCCCGTTAGGGGCAAGACGACTTCAGATGAACAACAGAAGAACGCGTTAACTTATGAGGACACAGCATCGCTAATGCGAGACGTGATCAAGGCTTCAGGGGATGTGTAAAACAAGCGCGGCTTCACTCAAAATTTCGAACCAAGAATAGTGAGATGAATTTTTTTGTTGTTTTTTGTTTTTACAAAGAACGACGCGAAATAAGATTTGCTCTTACACGCTACGACAACAGCAGGAACAAATAATCGTACATTTCCCCCTTTTAGGTCGCTACTGTTTTTTTTTTATCCGCTGTATATTCAACGCGCACAATACACACCAACAACAACAACATACTCTGAATCTCGGAGTGGGAACAAGGAGGCTAATGAAAGTGCGGAACTGTGCACCGTTTTGTTTTTGTTGTGTTGCACAAAGTGTCTCGGCACGGCGACCCTCCCGTCGTGCAGCCTAAGGTCACGTGGAGAGCAGCAGTTGCTTTGATGTACCATGGCGCAAGCAGCGATCCCCCCCCCCCTTCTAAAAAAAACCCTCACGAATCTCTCTCGTCGTCCGTTTACCGGGAGGTTTTTTTGACTGGCAGTGGTGGTTTGCCTCTCTCAACTGTGACTCTTCTCAGACGAGGCCGTCTGCGCGAGCCGCTTAAACCACGGGCGTTCCTCTCGCACTCTCTCGCGCTCTCTCTCCCTCTCTCTCTGTGTGTGTCTCTGTGTGTGTGTCTCTCTGTGTGTGTGTCTCTCTCTGCGGTGTCTCGGCGTGTGACGGCGTGGAATTATGTCGCAGGAAGACATTTTCGTGGCGAGTTTTTATTGCGCGCGCAACGCGAGTCAATCTTGCGGCCCAAACAAAACAGAGAGAGAGAGAGAGTCGGTGTATAATTCCGGACCTATACTTTTAATGGCCTTGGCTCGTGGATCTCAGTGTTAGGTATTGGCTGGTATTTAAAGCTCCATGTCCTATAAATTACCGGCCGAGGTGCAATTAACACAGTGATCGGAGTGGCTAGATACAATCAATCTATTCAGCGGTGTAATTACACCGTATTTGTTAGGGAAATGAGGCAGATCTATTCATTAGAGCGTGGTGATTTATCGGCGCTGTCAGTCTTGCAGAAAGTGCACAGTAACCCCAGGCAGCTCGGGTGCCGCACTCGCCATCTCTCAAAGTGGCGCTAACGGCGGCGATCGGGGCCACGAGCGTGGACGCGCGAGGTTCCTGGCCGGGCAGCGGAGTTAGCGGAGGCGAGGCGGGAGTCCAATTGGCACCCTGGGTGAGGGTGGTGGTGGGGGGGGGGGTCACTGGACCAGCATCACGCTCCGCTGCATCGTCCCTCCCGCTGGCGCTGAGCCCGGCCGCTCCGCTCCAGGTGTGAACCTCTGACAAGGCGACCTGCAGGAGGCGGCACGGGGAGCCGCGCTTTAAGCTCCCAATTAGAGGGCCGTGGTGGTGGTGGTGGCGGCGGCGGAGGCGTCGGGACGAGGTTGGGATTTGGCCGAGGTCATTCGTTCCAGGAGCTGAAACCGCCGGGGGAGGTCTGGACGAACAAAGCGAGGTCATCGCAAAATCCCTCCGCGAGCACTTGTGTTGGCGTGTTGTTGTTGTTGTTATTGTTATTTTTTGTCCACGTTTTGATTTGCTTCATCGCTGTAATTCACTTCACTTGGTTTTGTTGTTGTTGCTGATATCGTCAAGGAGCGTAAACCACCATCACGCGAACTCCGACGGTCATCCTCGCAGCGACAGCGGCGGCGGCTTTTTGGCTGCTCGCCATTGAACACAGACGGCGGTCACCGCATCGCGCGCCTTCAGGTGTCGCTTCTGCTACCGTCTGGAACGCTCTTCCTTCCGATATTCGGAAGCCACTGGAGCTACGCACTTTTAAATCATCATCTAGATTTAGAACTCACTGCTTCGAAAGTGTTTTTTTTTGTGTTTAATTCGTTGCCCTTCCCCGCACCTCCGATTATCACGGTTTGGCTACGTACGGTGCGAAAGATGTTCAACGTACGTGTATTGTTGCAGCTCAGGTCACTGTCGCAAGTGAGATTCCTTTCCTGGTCTCTTGAGTTCTCGCCCTGCTTCCACAAAATTCACCGCAGAACGTTGGCGAGCTCCGTTGAACTAAGCCACGCGCGGGGAACCTTGTCCTCTCTCGGCGCCAAACGGAACTCTCAAAAAGCCATCGTCGAGACAAAGCACACAAGAATCGATCAAACTTTTATCACCTGGGTGGGACTGCGTGCTCAGAACAACAGAAAAGATAAACGGGTGTCCGAGTGCGGTCAAAGTTTAGAGAAGAAGAAAAAAACAGCATTGCCAGACTGAAATTATACCTCTGCAGAGTTCCCTAATTAGTGCGGCCCTCCGTGCTTGCAGCGACCGAATTTCATTGTTTGAGGGTCCTTCCGAAGTGGCGGGCCAGATTGGGCCACGGCCGTAATTATCGGCCGCTGGGACAGTCTGCGTGGTTTGCTGCACACTTCTGACGGCGATTGTTTCACCGCCGGAACTCCATTCTCCCAGTCGCACGTGCTGGCGACTCCCCTGCCCCACCTTGTCCACGCGATGGCTCGATACGTCTCTCGGCAAAGCAAATATTCCCGCTGTTTCAGTCGCATTTCGACGCCTCGTAAATCACCGTTGCGACGGCTTTGGTTTATATTCACGCGAAGGTCAGCGCTCACTAAGCAAGTGGGATGAATTAGCGCCAGTTTCGCACGAGGAGGGCCTGGGCCAGCCCCGCGCAACGTCTGTCCACAGGCTCACGGGCGATGCTGCGTGCGCGGTAATAGAGGCAACCGGAGCAGGGTGCGTCGATCGGCCCCAGAGCTACGAAGCTCTACTGACACCTACAGGCAACGAGCAAAGAGGCGGGGGGGGGCGGGGGGCACAGCAGCCCAGCGCACACTCGTTAACTGCATCACCGGCCACAGTCTATCCACCGCTGGATAAAGGCATCCCCCCCCCCCCCAACTCCTCCCCGCCCACCCTCCCACCGCCCGACCCCCTGCTCCAAGCCGACATCCTGCAATGTGAATAAATGTTATCCAGCACCAGCGCGCGAGCGGATTCCATCTGCTCCATCTTCGCAGGGGGGACGTCCTCCTCTTCCTCGGGAGCATTCGTGCCCTCCTCGACTGCCGCTTCGTCCTGCGTCTTGTCCACCGGGGACCATCCCATCCCATCTCCTGACGACGGCGTCACGCCGGAGACAAGCGACTCCCCGTCATTATTATATTCATGTCTCATTATGATCATTATGATTATTCGCGAGTGTTGAACGTGCTCTCAGGAATTTAACCCGAAGCGGTTGAAACAAAAACCAGACGAAACTCGCCGTGAGATATACCACGCGACATGCCGCGGAAGAGACACGCCACGGTTTAAAGGTGGCATTTGAGAAAGCTGTACGATGTAAATATCTGACACGAGTCTCTGATGCTGATAAGACCGTGGGATACTTAAATGTCAAATTGGTCAAGGTGACGTACAATTTCAACAATTCTTACGATGACTTTGCGAACAGTTTGGCTCTCTTTCAGCAGCAGCCACGCTCTCCCCTTTGCTGGTGGGGCAGTGCCTCGCCGTGCCGTGTGGGTAAACTGGGGTCGTATGACCACAATTCATCACCCGAAAGGGCGAACAACTTCGCCGTTGGGAGCGATTTCACCAAAAAAAAAAAACCACGGTCAAGTCGGTCACAGTGAAACAATTCGGCCCTCATTTCAATGAAATTTTAACTGACTGCTATGCAGATGGTGCAGTTGCGATGAATGCCAAAAGATAGTAATACTGACAAGACGTCGGCCTGTCGGATTGTGGCTGCCCTAAGTGACGTCCCATGTTGGTGGCATTAACCCCAAATAGTATCTTAAAATACGGGGGGGGGGGGGGCTATACACCAACGCTCTCCCTACACCCCCGGCTGGGCGCGATGATTGAGAGGAACCTCGTGGGTTCGATTACATCATTTGACTCCTGTTGGGATTTGAAATGTCATAATTATTGCCGTGAGTATACAGCCCTCGGTTAATCTACTGCTGGATGGAGGCCTCCCCACGGCGTGCAGGTCATGGGGAGTTATTTTACTATACTTCACCTTACTGGTGCAGCTTAACGAAGGTGGGGATCGTGGACGTGGGACCATATAAGTACTGCACTGCGCTCTGCTGCCCACGACGTCAGCCCGCAGCAGCCTATGTCACCTGGTGTGCATGGTGATCGCTTATCCAAGCGCCATCCAGGCTGAACGCTGTTTAACGTGCCGGATCTGGCGAGTAATGGGTACATTTGCTTACGTGTGTGATGTTATATTCATACGTGTATAAAGATAAACGATGTCATTATTGGCTTCCTGTTATTATTACTGTAAATACATATTTTCTTTTTTTAGTTGTGTCTCATTGCATTAGTATTGTCCTTATTTAACTTATCCCATTAGCCTATTTTACTGGTAGGAACCTCCTGGTTACACCACCAGCCCACAGGGGATTATTGTATCCGACCGTCGTGCATCCAAAAATGGGAGGGGTGGGGCTGGGTGGAGAGGGGAGGGTGGGGAGGGAGGGGCTGGGTGGAGAGGGTGGGTAGGGGCTGGGTGGGGAGGGAGGGGCTGGGTGGGGAGGGGAGGGTGGGGGAGGGGCTGGGTGGGGAGGAAGGGGCTGGGTGGGGAGGGGAGGGTGGGGAAGGGCTGGGTGGGGAGGGTGGGTGGGGAGGGGCTGAGTGGGGAGGGTGGGGCTGGGTGGGGGGTGGGAGGGTTGGGGTTGGGTGGGGAGGGACTGGTCACCCCGTGGTGCCCTTATAAAACTCAACGTTTAACCTCCTCACGCCGGCTTGTGCCCGCCCTCACAGTCGGGCATATTTGCAGAATACACCACGTGGTGCCGCCGTTGACCCTGGCCATTGACCGAGCAACCCAACGTTCCTACCAGCTCCCTCCGCAGGAATGTGTTGTAAAGCCCATCGCCAACCCGCACGTCATTAGCAGCGTGGTGAAGTTTGGGTGAAGCATCACCCCCCACCATCCACACGGCGGGGAGAAAATAAAAACCTTCATCCAGCGGTGAACTAACAAATAACGCCCAAAACACAAACATGCATTCTTCACCTGGCCTGGAATTAAAGAGCGCGGCGTTGTATGGCACCCCTTATTATTATTATTATCATTATTTTCTTCTTCTCCTGCTTTTCCTTCTCTTCCGTCTCCTTCTCTTCCTTCTCCTCCTTCTCATTCTCCTCCTTCTCCTCCTTCTCATTCTCCTCCTTCTCCTCCTCCTCCTCCTCCTCCTCCTCCTCCTTCTTCTTCTCCTCTTCCTTCTCCGTCTTCTCCTCCTCCTCATCCTCCTTCTCCTCCTCCTCCTTCTTCTCCGGCGAGATGACTGATGGGGGTGGCGACACAACGCGCAACTGTAGCTCCCTTCGCCAGCGAGTTACCCGAGCGCTAACCCACGCGGCCAAAGCACGCGGCGCGCAAAAACGCACGCGGATGGCACGCGCGGGCCGCTGCAACCCCGCACGCACGCGCGCGTTCATCGGCCACACGCGCACGACGGACGGCCGCATTAACAAATGAGTGTCGGGGTGCACCGAAAGCGTGGCAGGCGTTAGCCGCGCTCCATTTTTTTGCGCTCGTAACGCTGACCACGGCGAGTGAACCTTTAGCCGTCGACGCGATCGCCACGTCTGGGCAGAGCTTGCGAGCGCAGCCGAACCGTTTGGTGGCTGCTGCTGTCATTTGCCACGGATTAATGAGGCTCCGGAATCTGTCGTCGGGGAACGCTCGGGGTATGAACGGGAGGCGACAGAGTCCCGTGGAACCGTGCCCAGATCTCGTCGGATCTCAGAAGCCAAGCGAACTGGCCAGGCATACTTTGAATACGAGCACGCTTAGCTATTATTACACAAGTACAACACGTGTGTCACACTACGCTCATCAACAATGCAATAATGCGACGTTCCCGAACTTAAACAGGCACCGTGGGACGTGGTCTTCAATGACGCCCACATAAATGTACAGTGAGGAAAAAACGTATTTGATCCCCTGCTGATTTTGTAAGTTTGCCCACTGACAAAGAAATTATGAGTCTATAATTTTAATGGTAGGTTTATTTGAACAGTGAGACAGAATAACAACAACAAAAATCCAGAAAAACGCATGTCAAAAATTGTATAAATTGATTTGCATTTTAATGAGGGAAATAAGTATTTGACCCCCTCTCAATCAGAAAGATTTCTGGCTCCCAGGTGTCTTTTATACAGGTAACGAGCTGAGATTAGGAGCACACTCTTAAAGGGAGTGCTCCTAATCTCGGCTTGTTACCTGTATAAAATACACCTGTCCACAGAAGCAATCAATCAGATTCCAAACTCTCCACCATGGCCAAGACCAAAAAGCTATCCAAGGATGTCAGTGACAAGATTGTAGACCTACACAAGGCTGGAATGGGCTACAAGACCGTTGCCAAGCAACTTGGTGAGAAGGTGACAACAGTTGGTGCGATTATTCGCAAATGGAAGAAACACAAAAGAACTGTCAATCTCCCTCGGCCTGGGGCTCCATGCAAGATCTCACCTAGTGGAGTTGCAATGATCATGAGAACGGTGAGGAATCAGCCCATAACTACACGGGAGGATCTTGTCAATGATCTCAAGGCAGCTGGGACCATAGTCACCAAGAAAACAATTGGTAACACACTATGCCGTGAAGGACTGAAATCCTGCAGCGCCCGCAAGGTCCCTCTGCTCAAGAAAGCACATATACATGTCCGTCTGAAGTTTGCCAATGAACATCTGAATGATTCAGAGGACAACTGGGTGAAAGTGTTGTTGTCAGATGAGACCAAAATGGAGTTCTTTGGTATCAACTCAACTCGCCGTGTTTGGAGGAGGAATGCTGCCTATGACCCCAAGAACACCATCCCCACCGTCAAACATGGAGGTGGTAACATTATGCTTTGGGGGTGTTTTTCTGCTAAGGAGACAGGACAACTTCACCGGATCAAAGGGACAATGGACGGGGCCATGTATCGTCAAATCTTGGGTGAGAACCTCCTTCCCTCAGCCAGGGCATTGAAAATGAGTCGTGGATGGGTATTCCAGCATGACAATGACCCAAAACACACGGCCAAGGCAACAAAGGAGTGGCTCAAGAAGAAGCACATTAAGGTCCTGGAGTGGCCTAGCCAGTCTCCAGACCTTAATCCCATAGAAAATCTGTGGAGGGAGCTGAAGGTTCGAGTTTCCAAACGTCAGCCTCGAAACCTTAATGCCTTGGAGAAGATCTGCAAAGAGGAGTGGGACAAAATCCCTCCTGAGATGTGTGCAAACCTGGTGGCCAACTACAAGAAACGTCTGACCTCTGTGATTGCCAACAAGGGTTTTGCCACCAAGTACTAAGTCATGTTTTGCAGAGCGGTCAAATACTTATTTCCCTCATTAAAATGCAAATCAATTTATAACATTTTTGACATGCCTTTTTCTGTAGGTTTTTTTGTTGTTATTCTGTCTCTCACTGTTCAAATAAACCTACCATTAAAATTATAGACTGATCATTTCTTCGTCAGTGGGCAAACGTACAAAATCAGCAGGGGATCAAATACTTTTTTCCCTCACTGTATCAACATTTACAAACATTTAATGCACTATTATAACCTTACTCAACGCTCACACCCTATTGTGGGTGGCGCGGCTTTACTCCGTGAATAAATATATCTTTCTCCCCCAACCCCCCTCCCCACCCCCCTTTAAAGAAATCACAATAACAATTTAAAACAACAACAAAAAAGTTGACAACAAAGGGAAAAATAGAACCTAATCTTTAACAATAAAAAGCCCCCACGTGCGCTCTAACGAAAGTGGCGCGCGCTAATCAAGACGGAACTTGTCAGCTCGGCGCGAGGCCCAAAGAAGAGATTAGCAGCAGCGCAAATGGGGGGGGGGGAGGGGTTGGGAAAGTGGGGGGGGGGGGGGTTTAGGGGGGTGGGGGGAGAGAGCGGGGCAACACACGACACACAATATTGACGGACGCTATAAAACAGCTTCCACCTCGATAGAGCGGTGACAGCGGCTGAGAATAAGGAGGTTCGGGGAGGGAGTCGGGGGGTGGCCGCCGGGGGCCCCAGCCGCAACAAGTGGCGCTTTGTTCGCGCAAAAACGGCTGCTGGCCCCGGCGCGGGCGTGAGATGACTCCGTCCACGGATTCAACGCCGCCGCCACCGCCTCGCGCGGAAGAGAAAAAAAGCACCGACGTTTTATTCCAAAAGTCCCCACAACCACCACCACCACCACCCGCCTAAATAAAAAGAAATCCCGCTGCGATTACGTCAAGTTCCACAATGAAGTCCTTTCTCCCGGCCGGCTGACCCCCCGTGACCTGCACCCCCCACCCCCCCCACCCCTCAAGCCTATCAAGAAGGAGTTGAAACAAAATGTAGCCCCGAGGAGGAGCTGTGAAGTCGGGGATTTCATGGGGACCGTACGCTTTTGTCAGCCAGCGTGCCGCGGGGACCCGTAGCTCGCTGGCGGATAAGCACATTTCACAGCTCTTCCTCTTGGCTCCGCCAGGGAGAGAGAGAGAAGGATGGAAGAGCTCCGTGGTTGCTCAGACGCGCGCGCGCACGCGGCACACGCATTATTGCGCAGAAACGCACGCGGACCATTGATGAAGACATCAGCCGCGGAGAGCCGGGCGCTTGGCCACGGCGTTTAGCGGCCACCGTTCGGGGTTTTTTTTTTCCCCCGCTGGCTCCGTGCGTTCCCCCGGCCTTGGCAGCAAGATGAATTGTCCCTCCGTGCTTGCGTGCCTTCCAACGGGATGGTGACAAGTGGAAGATGCCAGCGGATCCCTATGGTGGGTTGGGGGGGGGGGGGAGGGGAGAGAGTGGGGGGTTGAATATACATTCACGTTGTCCGGGGCTCCCCGGTGGATAGTTTCTCCCACTGCGCAGCAGCGCCACACGTTGCCGATGGCACCGGGAGACTGACGAGTGGACGTGAGCTGACGCTTCCACGACAGCGGGCCGTGTGGACGAGACGAGCGACGATCGCCAGCGATGGCAGGCGGGGGCCTTGGCGGCCACCCCTTGAGAGTTCACGGCAGGGGGCACTTTTCAGACTGGCTCTCTCACCCAACCGCGACGTGAACGTGGAAACATTGCCAGCCAAAAATAAAGCACGTCTCTATTTAAATCTAAGGGTCTCTATGGGAGAGTGCGGGTGTCTGTGCGAGCCTACGAGTCTCCATCAGTGTGTACGGGTCTCGATGTGAACCCATGGCTCCTCCATCGCGAGCATTGATCTCGAAGCACGCACCGCGGGGGAAACACCACCGCCAGCTGCGATCATTCACCAGCAGCATTCTCAGCTCCTGAAGCCATCCGCCGGCACGCTCACCAACCTCGGCATGAGCTGTCGAGCGACTCCGCGACCAACAGGACAGGAGGAAGATCGCCGCGCGCCTCGGTGCGTCCTCGTTCGAACGAAGGAGACACGGAGAGCCGTCGGGAAGGCGCCCGGACAGACCCCGAAGAGCCCCTGGAGGGCCCGCGCGTGCCCGGGGCAGTCTCTGCGCGGGGATCACCCCCCCCCCTCCCCAGTCCCTCGTGCTTCGTTAAGCAAGCGGTGTTCACATTCATTGCATCTATTTTTAGGTCTGCCGTTGAATTTTTTTTAAATTAAAATTGTGTGTTCTGATTCGTTTTTTTGTGAGTTGTCGACATTTTAGGTGAGATCGTGGTAGTTTGCATATCTATATATATACACAGCTCAAGAACGCACCTCCGATTAGCGCGGTTTGGTCACGTACGGTGTGAAAGAAGGTCAACATGCATACACTTAGCGATTGAACCTAACACGGCCATGTAAAAACAGAGAGAGAGATGCCTGCATGGAGCTACACTGAGCAACCGACAGAATAACAATAAGAACAACACGTGCATTACACAATGGGGACTACTACACACAGTAGCAATCCCCCCTCCCCCCCCCCCGCCTGGCAGACTGATGCCCGTTTGTAGGCAGCTGCTGAGTCACATTGTGCCACACAGGGGCAGCTGCCACTGGGGATGGGGGGGTGCCCCTTTCAAATTCGTTGAGACGAGATGCGATGCAGCGCGTTCCGCGAAGCCGCGACGCATTAGGAGCGTGCTCGCTTTAAAAAAAAAAACACACCACGTAACAACACAAATCGTCATCGTTGCAAGAGGAGCTACGTGGGTTAGAGACGTCGTATTGCAAAGTAAGCGTCCGTGTGTCGCTGAGCAGCACGGTTGGCCGGCGGGAGAAATTAACGAGGGAGTCGAAGCCAAAGGAGGGAACACGTCCGACGTTCCGGGGCGACTACCACGGAGATGGAGCGACGAAATCAGCTCGTACGTAGGCGCTAGGTGGTATGTTAGATTTGTAGGACCGTGAGAGATGGTAACACCTTCCCAGGCCTTTCTTCCAGCAGTGAATTTATCGTAGCGCGCTGCCTTTGATGCTGCTGCTGCTGCTGGTGGTGGTGGTGCTCATGATGCGTGTGCTGTATGTTGGACTTCTTTCGCATGGTACGTAGTCAACCGCGCTTTTTGGGGGTGCGGATGATGATGATGACACTAGCAAAATTGTAAACCAATGACGATAGCAAATTGATAGGTGAATATTGTAACGGGCACTCTGAGACGATCCAGGGAAAACTGGCCGAGGGCTGCCACCTCCCCTCCACCGTACGCACAGCAACTCCTGCTGGAATCCAAAAACCGTACGCAGCACGCTTCACTCATCATAGTCAGTTTACACCGTGTGTCATTTCACGCAGCCAGGCCCCAAACCACGGGGACTCCATTTCTTATAGCAACAACAACAACAACATAAACAACAACAACGTCATATCAACCGCATGTTTCTTTAAACGACACGAGAAATTTATCACCGACCATTTAGTCGCGTGAATGACCCTCCCTGCGATGCATTTCGGGACGCGTTTAGAGAGGTAACAGTTGGCCCCGGGGCTGTTGTCCGGATGCTGTGGCATTAATCCCGCACGAGGCCTGGCAGCTGCAGCTGCAGCGCCCAGCTGTTCCAGTTTTCCACTGAAATCATCCCCACCGGCTGTTATTATCACTTTGCCTTTGTACCTGCACAACCTCCGCTCTTCTCCATCCGCTCGAACGCGACACGACACCGACACTCATTCGCCAAATTTCACGGATTCCAGCATCGGAGAGATGAAGTGAATTTTTTTTTGGGGGGGGGGGAGGGTTTCGCCCTGCCCCCTATCCCCAATAGCTGAAGCTTCGCTCTCATCTTTAGCATCGTGAACATCTGTAACGCTCCTCTTGTGACTTGACTGTTCTTGATTTTCCAGTCTTTCTACAACCAAAGCGGGGATGAGCCTGAATAGGGTTTTGCTGCGCTTGCTGAATATCGTTTGGATCGCGGTAACCCGGAGAGGGCAGCTGACTCGTTGCCACAGCCGTAGCGAGGGGTATACTGGACGTGGTATGCCGGGCGCTGCAACATTTTACGGGTAGCTGACACATGGCGCCACGGTGGCGAGATGTTAACTACCTCGCCTGGTATACAGGAGGTCGTGCGTTCGTTCCCTACCCTGACGCCTGCTGTATGTTTGCGTGTTCTCACCGTGGTCGCGTGGATTTTTCTCCGGGTCCTCCGGTTTTTCCCTCCACATTTAAAATCATGCGTTCAGAGTGTTTGGCTGCTATGAATTTCCACATGATGAGCCACTTTGTTGAGCTATCTTTTGTGGCCAGGTCGCTTACGAAAAGAACTATACAGCTCAGTGGGCCTTACCTGGCAATCCAACTAATAATAAAAGTTCAAGCCCTGGCAATCACCATGCTTAGCAGGTATCATTGGCTGCTGTTGACAGAACAAGGTAGTTCAGCAAATCCAATGTTGTGCCGTACATCAATCCGCTCACCCCCCCCCCGCCCCCCCCCCACCCCCCCTCGACAAACCCACTCTTTTGAGTACGGCGACGCATGGTGGGCAAATAACCCCCACGACCCGCACGACGTGAGAAAGGCCTCCATCCAGCAGTGGATTAGCAGGAGGCACTATCCGTGTACGTCGCTCATCTGGTACCAATGAGCGAGCAACAAGTGAGGAACGGCAGATGTCGGAGGCACCGTCGGTATTTTTGGCCAGAGGCAACGTGTTGTGGTGGCCGCTGTGAGTGATTTAAAATTACAAATTTAATTCATGCTCGCTCAGAGCAGAGCCGACCTCAAGGACAACAGAACGTGCCGGCATTGCCAGGCCAATAAGTGAGCCTCGACTCGCACGGAAGGGATTCGACGCCTGCGCGTTGATATGCAAACGCGCGTACGGCTGGGCGCGCGCGTCATTGCGCTTAGCTTGTCCGCCCTTCCACGCGCACCTCCTATGAGCACCATTGCGTTACGTGCGGTGCCAAAGAAGTTCAACGCACACGTCCGGTTCAGAGAGACAGAGAGAAAACAAGCACGTGACCACAGCTCGGCGGCGGTGTCCGAGCAGAGGGGAGTTGGCGGGGTGCCGCGTGCCGCACACACAGCAAAAAGAACACTCGGCCAACTCTCAACGTCCTCTGCATCGGCGCGGACCCAACAAAAGAGAAATAACCGCAGAGATCTTTCCCATGGAGTGCGCACGACATCTTCTGCACCGGTTCACCCGTGTTGTTTCTGAAAACACGACACGATTTTGGGTGGCTCAAAAAACCTGGCCTCAGCCGCTGTGTACTTTCCCTAATGGTGTTATTATTGGACGAGCCGCCGGTTGTGATTGGCTTCGACCGAATGGCTCACTCGTTCACCTTTCGCTAACCTTCTCCACCAATCAGGGGCGGCTGGGTGGGTGTTTTGGTGGCTCTCGCACCATGTCTGCGTCGCGACTCGTCCTAGGCGGCCGTGGCAAAGGTCGGTGTTGTCAGCTACCGGCGCATGTCGAAATGCCAAACTCCTGAGTAAACTTTGCTGTCACGAGACGCTGTCTCCCCCGATGTTTGCGAGCCCTCCCGAGAAGCCGACTCCTGTTTTCAAAACGTCTTTATTTAACTGTCCGAAATACTCGCACGTCGGCAAAAAAAACGCATTTCAAAATATCGCCGCTTTCTTTATTTACTTATTTACTCTGCAATTTGTTTTTCTAATCTACGAAATCTAAAGTGGAAGGGGCTCCACGCAACTTTTTAATATTTTTGTTTTTGAACGCATCGCTCCCGAGGAAGACGGCATAGCTGGCTGGCTCGCTCGCTCCACGTCCCGGGAGACAAACTCGAAACGGGGGGGGGGGGGGGGCTTGGCACCCGGGGCGGAACCAAAACCCGGGCAGACACCGCGCATTTCCCAGATTCTCACGACAACACGCGTGGGGTGGCCTTCCCTATCGTTGTAGTGAAGATTCTGGGACAGCAGCAGCAGCAATGGGCTCATGATGATTCAGGGGCAGCCCTGTTGAACTTTATTATATAAGGGTTTTGTCTTTAAGCGTATTCTCTCTCTTTCTCCTATCCCATGATCACCTGCCCCTTTCTCTCTGAAGTAAATCAACTATTTAAAACTATTTTTTTTTTTATTTTACCAGGTAATGCCCACTGAGCTATATAGCTCTTGTGTTTTCAGACGTAACCTGACCACAAATGATAGCTCAACAAAGTGGCATCTCGCGTGAGAATTAAAGCAGCTAAATACTCTAAACGCGTAATGTCGATTCTGAATGCGGAGGGGGAACCCGGAGGACCCAGAGAATAATCCAGAAGACCACGAGGAGAGAGACACCGCAAAACTCCAAATATGCAGCAGGCATCAGGGTCTGGATCGAGCCCGCTACCTCCTGTATACCAGGCGAGGTAGTTAACATCTCGCAATCGTGGCAAGATTAAATAAATTATAAATATGCCGGCCTCTTGGGATGCGGCCTCAATTAGACGTGATACACCCAAATTACGTTACGTTACTGTATCGTGATTTGAAATCCACCTCACATTGGACGCAAGTCAGCACCAACAACACAATTTGCGTTTATAAAATATAAATATATATACCCCCACATATATCGGGGCCGCTGTATACATCGCGGGGATTCGCACTGTTGTGAATGCTGCTTCGGGGCTGCTGGGTTAAGAGATGAAGATGAGACGAATGTGCGAATGTCAGACGCTTCGCGGAGAAAAGCCAACCACTGCGTGGATTTGACGAGGGGCAGGGGGAGAAGAAGAAGAAGAAGAGAGCTTACGACGACGCGGGGAGTCGAGGAGAACGAGGAGCGGACCTCCCGGCGCACTTCAGCAGTGCGGACCTCCAGCGAGAGACGGAATTCCAAACAACGCGAGCAGCTGCGACGGAGACTGCCTGACCCCCCCCCCCCCCCCAGCCCACCCCCCACTACGAACAGAGGTCGACCGGCGGCTTCGACAGGCGGCCTTGGCTACTGCAGCGGAGGGCACGCGGAGGGGAGCGGAGGGGAGCAGAGCGAGATGAGATGCAGGGTTGGAGGGTAGCCGAGGGTTAGGGGTGGGGGCTGGCGGGGAGGGGGGAGGGAGGTGAGGTCCCTGCCAAGACTCGGAACAACATTTGGCTGCTGGGTCGGTTGGGAGTTCCCCTGTGGGAGGTCTCGGGACTTGAGCTCTAACAGCCACAGCCCGCACGCGTGGACATTGCCACAGCTGAAATTCGGCAAGGGCCCCTGATCCGCACCCCCACCTCCCCCCCCCCCCACTATTTACCCTCTCGCTCCCGTGTCGCGTTTCGTGCGCATGCCTTCAACCGCTTACAGACTCGGGCTCGTGGCGGCGAGAGGGCGGTCGCACCATCCCTTTGCGTGCTGGGTAGTTTATTTTTTTCTATTTATTTTATGCGTGCGTTCGTATCCTGTGCAGGTAGGGTCCGGTTCAGAGACGGGGCATGGCTGGGGGCCGAGACACACGGGGACACAGGCACGCACACTCAACAACAAAGGCAAACACAAAGATGCCCCGCATAGCCTTAACAGACTGTTGGGGCAAGTACTGTTAGCGAGCACCTGTCTCGGTCTCACTGTGCGCTGCGTTGCACCACTATCCGAGTAGTTAACCTCGCATTCAATAAACCTTCAGAGCCAGGGTGAACATCCGACTCCAACGTATTAAATGACTAAAACGAAGTAAAACTGATGGAAAAACACAGCACAAAATACAGCATCTGTTAATACTTGCAATATCAATACAATGAATGAGCAATGCAGCATACCATTGTCTTAGATAACATGAAACTCAACAATAGGTCCAGGATAGACCAGGCACCTACATTAGCACTGAATAGCTATACAACAAGAGAATAAGCTACTGTGTTATACAATGTCATTTTGTGTAATCACCATACTGCAGCCTAAATGTACAGCACTGCACATAACACTGAACTGTGGATGAGATACTTCTCAATCCTTGCTCTCAAGAACACATGAAAGTTACTTGGGCACAAGTCTGGCACGACTTTCCAACTACAAATAACATTCACAATAATGCAAGTGGCAGGCTTCGTTGTTAACTAGGCCTCATATTCATCATAACAATTTAACAGCATTATAAAGGTGACCTCATCCCAGTATTATAAGAACATAAACGAACTTACAGACGAGGCTTTTTGAAGTCCCACAATGAACAGTTGCATCCATCTTCACTGAGATTCAGTCACAGTTCCTATGATCACTGTTACATTGCTTTTATGGCTTTATTTTGGTGATGTCAAAACGTTTTTTGGTTTGGCCATGTTTGTTTGTTGTAGTACGGAGTTAAACTGATGGCCTTAATCTAAGTTGTCTTGTGGTTGTTGTTGTTGTTTGACTTGCATCCCACTGGGATTTTTGCACACAGCATTGGTGTATGGTGCTTTTTCAGGAATATTTTGCTGTTTTTTTCCTGGATTTTCTATTTGCACAGTCACATAGTCACTTTAAGATGTTTTCTTGTTCATGTTTGTGTTTTTTGTTTGTTGCGGTTGCACCCGATTCAAGAGCCGAATGGCTCACAGGGCTATACCAAATAAATGAAACTGAAAACTGAAACTGAGAGGCTAATGGTGACTCAATTTTGTACTCTTTGTAATGGCTAACAGGTCAACTTATTTGTCCACATCTTTGCGAGAGAGAGGTAGTACTATCTCAACTATAGGCCTGACGAAAGTTCTTGCGACACTTTGCTTCACTACCATAACCTCAACCTTTAGAACTTTCCCATCGGCACTGAGAATTGTCTTGAGGATGCGGCCCATTGGCCACTCATTCCATTTGACTTTGTTGTCCTTCAGTAGGATGAGGTCAGCTTCTTGGATGTCTGGTCTGCTCGACTGCCACTTGTTGCGCACTTGAATTGTCGCATGGTAAGTGTTTTTTTCCAGTGATGCCAGAACGTGTTGGCGAAGCTCCGCACGTGTCTCCATTGACGTCTGTAGAGTTCTGCAGTGCTGACCTCCTCGGTGAGTGCTATGAGCACCTTTGTCTGTAGCTGCTCAAGTGCCCGTAAGGATTTTCTCCAAGTTTCCCATCAGGCAACGGGCTATCCCAGTCTTGTGTATCAGCGCAAAGATCCCTGAGTAGCCAACGGCCTTGAAT